CAGATTCCAGGTACAGCAGACTCCTGGTACAGCAGACTCCAAGTACTGCAGACTCCTGGTACAGTAGATTCCAGATACTGCAGACTCCTGGTACAGCAGACTCCAAGTACTGCAGACTCCTGGTACAGCAGATTTCAGGTACAGCAGACTCCAGGTACTGCAGACTCCTGGTACTGCAGACTCCAAGTACTGCAGACTCCAGGTACAGCAGACTCCAGGTACTGCAGACTCCAAGTACTGCAGACTCCAGGTACTGCAGACTCCAGGTACTGCAGACTCCAGGTACAGCAGACTCCAGGTACAGCAGACTCCAGGTACAGCAGACTCCAGGTACAGCAGACTCCAGGTACAGCAGACTCCAGGTACTGCAGACTCTAGGTACAGCAGACACTAGGTACAGCAGACTCCAGGTACTGCAGACTCCAGGTACTGCAGACACTAGGTACAGCAGACTCCAGGTACTGCAGACACTAGGTACAGCAGACTCCAGGTACTGCAGACTCTAGGTACAGCAGACTCCAGGTACTGCAGACTCCAGGTACTGCAGACACTAGGTACAGCAGACTCCAGATACTGCAGACACTAGGTACAGCAGACTCCAGGTACTGCAGACTCTAGGTACAGCAGACACTAGGTACAGCAGACTCCAGGTACTGCAGACTCCAAGTACTGCAGACTCCAGATACAGCAGACTCCAGGTACTGCAGACTCCAGGTACTGTAGACTCCAGATACAGCAGACTCCAGGTACTGCAGACTCCAAGGACTGCAGACTCCAGGTACTGCAGACACCAGGTACAGCAGATTCCAGGTACTGCAGACTCCAGGTACAACACACTCCAGGTACAGCAGACTCCAGGTACAGCAGACTCCAGGTACTGCAGACTCCAGGTACTGCAGACTCCAGGTACAGCAGACTCCAGGTACTGCAGACTCCAGGTACTGCAGACTCCAGGTACAGCAGACTCCAGGTACTGCAGACTCCAGGTACAGCAGACTCCAGGTACTGCAGACTTATGGTACTGCAGACTCCTGGTACTGCAGACTCCTGACACTGCAGACTCCTGGTACAGCAGACTCCAAGTACTGCAGACTCCTGGTACAGCAGACTCCAAGTACTGCAGACTCCTGGTACAGCAGATTCCAGGTACAGCAGACTCCTGGTACAGCAGACTCCAAGTACTGCAGACTCCTGGTACAGTAGATTCCAGGTACTGCAGACTCCTGGTACAGCAGACTCCAAGTACTGCAGACTCCTGGTACAGCAGATTTCAGGTACAGCAGACTCCAGATACTGCAGACTCCTGGTACTGCAGACTCCAAGTACTGCAGACTCCAGGTACAGCAGACTCCAGGTACTGCAGACTCCAAGTACTGCAGACTCCAGGTACTGCAGACTCCAGGTACTGCAGACTCCAGGTACAGCAGACTCCAGGTACAGCAGACTCCAGGTACAGCAGACTCCAGGTACAGCAGACTCCAGGTACAGCAGACTCCAGGCACTGCAGACTCCAAGTACTGCAGACTCCAGGTACAGCAGACTCCAGGTACTGCAGACTCCAGGTACAGCAGACTCCAGGTACTGCAGACTCCAGGTACTGCAGACTCCAGGTACAGCAGACTCCAGGCACTGCAGACTCCAAGTACTGCAGACTCCAGGTACTGCAGACTCCAAGTACTGCAGACTCCAGGTACTGCAGACTCCAGGTACAGCAGACTCCAGGTACTGCAGACTCCAGGTACTGCAGACTCCAGGTACAGCAGACTCCAGGTACAGCAGACTCCAGGTACTGCAGACTCCAGGTACTGCAGACTCCAGGTATTGCAGACTCCAGGTATTGCAGACTCCAGGTACTGCAGACTCCAGGTATTGCAGACTCCAGGTACTACAGATTCCAAGTACTGCAGACTCCAGGTACTGCAGACTCCAGGTACTGCAGACTCCAGGTACAGCAGACTCCAGGTACAGCGGACTCCAGGTACTGCAGACTCCAGGTACTGCATACTCCAGGTACTGCAGACTCCAGGTACAGCAGACTCCAGGTACTGCAGACTCCAGGTACTGCAGACTCCAGGTACTGCAGACTCCAGGTACTGCAGACTCCAGGTACTACAGATTCCAGGTACTGCAGACTCCAGGTATTGCAGACTCCAGGTACTACAGACTCCAGGTACAGCAGACTCCAGGTACTGCAGACTCCAGGTACTGCAGACTCCAGGTACAGCAGACTCCAGGTACAGCGGACTCCAGGTACTGCAGACTCCAGGTACTGCAGACTCCAGGTACAGCAGACTCCAGGTACTGCAGACACCAGGTACAGCAGACTCCAGGTACTGCAGACTCCAGGTACTGCAGACTCCAGGTACTGCAGACACCAGGTACAGCAGACTCCAGGTACTGCAGACTCCAGGTATTGCAGACTCCAGGTACAGCAGACTCCAGGTACAGCAGACTCCAGGTACAGCAGACTCCAGGTACTGCAGACACCAGGTACAGCAGACTCCAGGTACTGCAGACACCAGGTACAGCAGACTCCAGGTACTGCAGACACCAGGTACAGCAGACTCCAGGTACAGCAGACTCCAGGTACTGCAGACACCAGGTACTGCAGACTCCAGGTACTGCAGACTCCAGGTACTGCAGACTCCAGGTACAGCAGACTCCAGGTACTGCAGACTCCAGGCACTGCAGACTCCAGGTACTGCAGACTCCAGGCACTGCAGACTCCAGGCACTGCAGACTCCAGGTACAGCAGACTCCAGGCACTGCAGACTCCAGGCACTGCAGACTCCAGGTACAGCAGACTCCAGGTACTGCAGACTCCAAGCACTGCAGACTCCAGGTACTGCAGACTCCAGGCACTGCAGACTCCAGCCACTGCAGACTCCAGGTACAGCAGACTCCAGGTACAGCAGACTCCAGGCACTGCAGACTCCAGCCACTGCAGACTCCAGGTACTGCAGACTCCAGGTACTGCAGACTTATGGTACTGCAGACTCCAGGTACTGCAGACTTATGGTACTGCAGACTCCAGGCACTGCAGACTCCAGGCACTGCAGACTCCAGGCACTGCAGACTCCAGGTACAGCAGACTCCAGGCACTGCAGACTCCAGGTACTGCAGACTCCAGGTACATCAGACTCCAGGTACTGCAGACTCCAGGTATTGCAGACTCCAGGTACAGCAGACTCCAGGTACTGCAGACTCCAGGTATTGCAGACTCCAGGTACTGCAGACACCAGGTACTGCAGACTCCAGGCACTACAGACTCCAGGTACAGCAGACTCCAGGTACTGCAGACCCCAGGTACTGCAGACTCCAGGTATTGCAGACTCCAGGCACTGCAGACTCCAGGTACTGCAGACCCCAGGTACTGCAGACTCCAGGTACTGCAGACTCCAGGCACCGCAGACTCCAGGTACTGCAGACTCCAGGCACTGCAGACTCCAGGCACTGCAGACTCCAGGTACAGCAGACTCCAGGCACTGCAGACTCCAGGTACTGCAGACTCCAGGTACAGCAGACTCCAGGTACTGCAGACTCCAGGTACTGCAGACTCCAGGTACTGCAGACCCCAGGTACAGCAGACTCCAGGTACTGCAGACACCAGGTACTGCAGACTCCAGGTACTGCAGACTCCAGGTACTGCAGACACCAGGTACTGCAGACTCCAGGCACTGCAGACTCCAGGCACTGCAGACTCCAGGTACAGCAGACTCCAGGTACTGCAGACTCCAGGTACTGCAGACTCCAGGTACTGCAGACCCCAGGTACAGCAGACTCCAGGTACTGCAGACTCCAGGTACTGCAGACCCCAGGTACAGCAGACTCCAGGTACAGCAGACTCCAGGTACTGCAGACTTATGGTACTGCAGACTTATGGTACTGCAGACTCCAGGTACTGCAGACTTATGGTACTGCAGACTCCAGGTACTGCAGACTCCAGGTACTGCAGACTCCAGGTACTGCAGACTCCAGGTACAGCAGACTCCAGGTACTGCAGACTCGAGGTACTGCAGACTCCAGGCACTGCAGACTCCAGGTACTGCAGACTCCAGGTACAGCAGACTCCAGGTACAGCAGACTCCAGGCACTGCAGACTCCAGGCACTGCAGACTCCAGGTACTGCAGACTCCAGGTACAGCAGACTCCAGGTACAGCAGACTCCAGGCACTGCAGACTCCAGGTACAGCAGACTCCAGGTACTGCAGACTTATGGTACTGCAGACTCGAGGTACAGCAGACTCGAGGTACAGCAGACTCCAGGCACTGCAGACTTCAGGCACTGCAGACTCCAGGCACTGCAGACTCCAGGTACAGCAGACTCCAGGTACTGCAGACTTATGGTACTGCAGACTCCAGGTACAGCAGACTCCAGGTACTGCAGACTTATGGTACTGCAGACTCCAGGTACAGCAGACTCCAGGTACAGCAGACTCCAGGCACTGCAGACTCCAGGTACAGCAGACTCCAGGTACTGCAGACTTATGGTACTGCAGACTCCAGGTACAGCAGACTCCAGGTACAGCAGACTCCAGGCACTGCAGACTTCAGGCACTGCAGACTCCAGGCACTGTAGACTCCAGGGACTGCAGACTCCAGGTACTGCAGACTCCAGGTACTGCAGACTTATGGTACTGCAGACTCCAGGTACAGCAGACTCGAGGTACAGCAGACTCCAGGTACTGCAGACTTCAGGTACTGCAGACTCCAGGTACTGCAGACTCCAGGTACTGCAGACTCCAGGTACTGCAGACTCCAGGCACTGTAGACTCCAGGCACTGCAGACTCCAGGCACTGCAGACTCCAGGTAGTGCAGACTTCAGGCACTGCAGACTCCTGGTACAGCAGACTCCAGGTACTGCAGACTCCAGGTACTGCAGACTCCAGGCACTGCAGACTCCAGGTACTGCAGACTCCAGGTACAGCAGACTCCAGGCACTGCAGACTCCAGGTACTGCAGACTCCAGGTACAGCAGACTCCAGGTACAGTAGACTCCAGGTACTGCAGACTCCAGGTACAGCAGACTCCAGGTACAGCAGACTCCCAGCTATCCTTGTGTCTCACTTGATTGAAACTGTTTCTTGTACCTACTGCCCAAGTTGCCTAACAGACCAAATTTTCATGAAATACTATATTAAAAAAAATAGCATGGAATGATAAACCTTTCCATTGTATTATATATGATGTTTTTTTACTTGAGTTAAAACTAACAGAAAAATTATCAAGACTAACTTACCTAACCTAACCTAATCTAGCTTAATATAACTAAGTCCCGGTCTGGTCTTGCACACCGTGTACACCACTGGTCTGGTCTTGCACACCGTGTACACCACTGGTCTGGTCTTGCACACCGTGTACACCACTGGTCTGGTCTTGCACACCGTGTACACCACTGGTCTGGTCTCCTCGCTCGGTCATCACTTCTGCAGACGGACGCCAAATATGTCTTCGTGATAACGATTTTCTTCCTGTAATGAAACATCGAGATACGATCTTAAAAAAATTAGGAACAATACTAGAACAAGTAATAATAATAACAACATTGAGAGAAAGAGAACCTTAAGATGGTTCTTTCTTGGGCACGACTGTGGCAAGATATCTTGGGTACGACTGTGGCAAGATATCTTGGGGACGACTGTGGCAAGATATCTTGGGTACGACTGTGGCAAGATATCTTGGGGACGACTGTGGCAAGATATCTTGGGTACGACTGTGGCAAGATATCTTGGGCACGACTGTGGCAAGATATCTTGGGTACGACTGTGGCAAGATATCTTGGGTACGACTGTGGCAAGATATCTTGGGTACGACTGTGGCAAGATATCTTGGGTACGACTGTGGCAAGATATCTTGGTACGACTGTGGCAAGATATCTTGGGTACGACTGTGGCAAGATATCTTGGGTACGACTGTGGCAAGATATCTTGGGTACGACTGTGGCAAGATATCTTGGGTACGACTGTGGCAAGATATCTTGGGCACGACTGTGGCAAGATATCTTGTGTACGACTGTGGCAAGATATCTTGGGTACGACTGTGGCAAGATATCTTGGGTACGACTGTGGCAAGATATCTTGGGCACGACTGTGGCAAGATATCTTGGGTACGACTGTGGCAAGATATCTTGGGTACGACTGTGGCAAGATATCTAGGGTACGACTGTGGCAAGATATCTTGGGTACGACTGTGGCAAGATATCTTGGGTACGACTGTGGCAAGATATCTTGGGCACGACTGTGGCAAGATATCTTGGGTACGACTGTGGCAAGATATCTTGGGTACGACTGTGGCAAGATATCTTGGGTACGACTGTGGCAAGATATCTTGGGTACGACTGTGGCAAGATATCTTGTGTACGACTGTGGCAAGATATCTTGGGTACGACTGTGGCAAGATATCTTGGGTACGACTGTGGCAAGATATCTTGGGTACGACTGTGGCAAGATATCTTGGGTACGACTGTGGCAAGATATCTTGGGTACGACTGTGGCAAGATATCTTGGGTACGACTGTGGCAAGATATCTTGGGTACGACTGTGGCAAGATATCTTGGGTGGCACGACTGTGGCAAGATATCTTGGGTACGACTGTGGCAAGATATCTTGGGTACGACTGTGGCAAGATATCTAGGGTACGACTGTGGCAAGATATCTTGGGTACGACTGTGGCAAGATATCTTGTGTACGACTGTGGCAAGATATCTTGGGTACGACTGTGGCAAGATATCTTGTGTACGACTGTGGCAAGATATCTTGTGTACGACTGTGGCAAGATATCTTGGGTACGACTGTGGCAAGATATCTTGGGCACGACTGTGGCAAGATATCTTGGGTACGACTGTGGCAAGATATCTTGGGTACGACTGTGGCAAGATATCTTGGGTACGACTGTGGCAAGATATCTTGGGTACGACTGTGGCAAGATATCTTGGGTACGACTGTGGCAAGATATCTTGGGTACGACTGTGGCAAGATATCTTGGGGACGACTGTTGTGGGGAAAATATCCTGTGAGATTTACGCGTAGTTTATATTAATTTATATAGTAATTTGTATTTTACGTTAATTTATAATTTTCGATAGCAAATTGTTTGATGTTTAAAGTGGGTTGTATAATTTAGAATCCCACAAATCGTTTTCCTACACACATTCTGGGGGGATTATGGTGTATTTATGTAGTTATCAATATAATTTTTGGGTTAGTAGACATTTACTACAATATTAGATTACATATATTATTAACTAAAGTAGGAAGGCCTTATCTGTATCGTTGTTATATCCTAGACAACCAGATATGGATATGGAACACGTGAGTCGATACACTTTGTGGGTGAGGCTGTCCTCAACTCCTGTACTGACGTACTTAGTAACTGGTTTTAATTTTCTTCCTCTTTAATTACACCTGTCAATGACACTCACAAATACTAGCAGTAATCCTAAGATTTCAGCTATATCAGGGGAATATTGTAATTATTTAAATAAAGTGATGAGAATATTGCTCACCCTGGTTTGGTCGCTGTCTCGTGTTCTATCTGGTTTAGCCTAACATAACTGGCCAGGAATATAAAGATAATAAATGGGTTTCGGTAAGGACACACCTCCCTTATTGTAGACGAAGTTGGTGTTGATAATGGGAGCACTTTACAACCCATAACACTTTTGTCCAAGGGAAAATTATTGGAACTCAATTTTCCTCAGCAACTGTTGTTAAAATTAAATGGCGACTCCCTGTAATCCTCTCCCCACTGACTCATCCAGCATCTTGTCCAAATGCATCAAGAAGTGGTTATAAGGCCTACATTTACTCTATTTTGGTACTAATAATTAAGTTATTCAAGCAAAATGTTTTTATGATGTTTAGAGTCCAAAGACTGCTGTATTAAGAATAAGTCTCATTATTTGGTTGGTGAATTTAATAACGACATGTGGCAATGATTTCCCCTGTTTTCTACTGGAGGAAATTTCCACTGTGCCACTTCTTCTATGAGTTAATTTGTTTATATTATCTGCATATTGTAATGAATATTAATAAATGGTGACAGTTTTTTCTGACATAATTTCATAATTTAATGACATAATTCATGACATAATTTTTTCGTTTTTTCTGACATAATTCCTAGGGGGCCGACCATGGGTCAAAAGTCCAGTATTTATAACAGACAAACACAGATCCTCCTTCAATGATTAATTTGATGTTGGTAGTTAGTAATCACACATTTGTGCGTCAGTTCGTACAGGTCGGATGTCCCATACTAGAGTTGCAGGAGTTTGAATTTTTAGGCGATTTCATTTCCCTGCTAACACTTGGGAGGCTAAAATTCTAGCCTATTTACATTTTATTGGGCCCAGTAGATTGACTGTGATCAATTACTACAGTCAAGTATGATTCTGGGACTGCAGTGAGAACAGTGACATTACTTGTATTGACTTGAAGCTTGTTCAGGTAACTGGTCAATGATATAAAAACACTGAGGCCCATGGAATACATTTTGATTAAATAGTAAATGTATCAAAATCAGTCGTCGGATTTATATAGTCAGTCATGCTCCCTTGTGCTTACTTGCTGGAATTTATTTAGCTGACAAATTGGGTTTTAATTTGGTTAGTTGATTCAGAGGATTGGATAGTTAATCATTAAACTCAAGTATAGTTATGAGACTGCAGTGGGTTCAGTGACATTGGTCACAGTGACTTGTAGCTGCTTAGGCTACTGTTCACTGATTTGCCACTCAGGCCTCATGAACACATCTTCAGCTTTAAATAATGATATCAAGATCAACCTCTATTGTTGTAGTCAGCTGTAATTTCCTTAGTATAATGTTACTAGAGTTGTATAATCAGCTGACAAATTTTGATTTTTATTGGTATTGTTTGTCTACAGGCATAGGTCTCCTCAGGCTTAATACTGGGCCCGTGAAGAATTTGCCTCCTGAAGAATTTACCAGGTTTACACCATGATATTTATTTGGGCTAGTGATGAATTGGTGGTAGTAGTGTGCACCTACAAGGATTCTTATGTTGGTGAGGTGATCAGACTGAATTTTATCTGCCAATTTTATTCCTCTATTTCTTAGGAATTTGGCAGTAGCTCTCAGACCTTCTACATGTAGGTTTATTGGAATTGTGTCCACCACAATGACTGGTACTTGATAGACGTAGCTGCCTAATCGTACTGATGGCTGTACCACCTGGTAAACTTGAGGACCTGTATCAGGTAGGAACCTCGAAATATTCAATGTCACCTGGGTTACATGCTTTAATTGTAGATCATCTTATTTTGCGACTTTGCCGATAGGACACTAACTTTCTGTCGCACCGAGCAGTACTGTACTGTGGTGGGAATGTCATTTTCCACCTTGGGGTCTGGAGACTTTATTTTTGTGTCTCCGCACAATGCTGCATGATCCAGACCCTTGTTACACCTATTACAGGTGTGTAATTGGGTCTCACAGGTGTTGGTGTTGTGTTTCCTGAGGCACCTCGTGCAATGTTGCAAATCTTTGAGTCGGTCACACGGGCGTCTTCATCAGGAAAATTGGTGCAGTGGTACAATGAATGTTTCTCTTGGCAAAACAAACATGTTCCATAGCTTGCTGTATCCTTTGGTGTCTTCGTCTTGGTTGACACCATAACTATTGGCTTGGAGGGACCCACTGCATATATGCCCACACTGCCACTGTTCCACTTTGGTGTGGAAATAGATTGATTAAATTTGTTTGGTGTACTTTTGGTACTCTGTGGTTGACTATTATTGGTTCCTAAATGTTTACTTGGTGGTTTTAATTTGTCATGTGTATGTAGTTGATGAATTACTGAACGTAAACCCTCAGATATTTCATTTAAGGATAAAATACTTATATTCTAGTAAACACTCATTTGTCTCAACATGTCCCTAGGTATTTTCTACTAGACAATTATTTTCAAGACCCACTCAGCTTCGGTTGTATTGGCTGTTAGGCTGAGGACCTTGATCATGGACACTACCTCCAGCTTAAATACTTGCTGAGAATCAACTGAAGCTTCCGGTGAGGGTAAATGCAACAGCTCATGAACTAGGTGTGAAGTTCTTACTTCTGGATCAGCATAATTACCCTTGAGGAGTTATACTGCGAGGTCATAGCCCTCGTTAGGTAACCTCAGATGGGATACTACTGATTTAGCTTCACCTGATAATTGACCTTGTAGATAAGAGAATTTACTACTCTTGCGTAAAGATGGTTTTGAGTCCACAAGGTCTACCAATTTGTTCTAAAATTCATCCAAATCTTCCTCGTCTTTTCTTGAGAAAGTGTGTAAATTAATTGGAGAGAGTTGAGCTTCAGCTTGATTCAGATTAGATGAAACTGTTGATGTTGCCTTGTTCTGGACAATTATTTTGACGAAGGCTTTAACATGGCCTGAGTTTGATCTTCATAAATCGCCAGATCAACTATAACATCGTCTATTTCTGTTTCTGATAAACTGGTGTTG